CCGGTCTGTAGTCATTTATCTCAGCCCGTCATCCTACTTTAGGTACCGGAACAAGACATGATGTTTTCCACAGGACCAGGATCCTCCCTGTTTGTAGACTTAAGTTAAAGATCCTCTGGAGAGGCTCAGTCCTTTAACAGCCTCAGATACACACCATCCAGGTCTGCTGCCTTTCCAGGACGTAGCCTCTTGAGCTCCGCCCTCACCTCCTCCACTGTAAAGGACAGGAGACTTGACCTCAGTGTGGAGGGAGTTGCAGTTGCAGTGTCAGGTTGTGGAGGAGATGCCGTAGGAGAAGCTGCAGCTGAAGCAGTGGGAGAGAGAACAGGTGAGGCTGTGTCAAACCTGTTGTAGAAGAGGTTGAACTCATTGGCCTTGTCTACATCACCTGATGTTGCCTGGCTGTTCTTCTCTTTATAGCCAGTGATGGTTTTCATCCCCTTCCACACCTCTCTGGTGTTGTTGTGCTGCAGCTTCCTCTCTACTTTCTTTTTGTAGTCCTCCTTCTCCTGCTTTAATCTCCTCTTCAGCTCATGTTGCACACAGCTGAGCTTCTCCCTGTCTCCATCCCTGAAGGCCTCCTTTTTCTGGTTTAGGAGGGTCTTGATGTTACTGGTGATCCAGGGTTTGTTGTTTGGAAAGCAGTGTACAGTCCTTGCTGGTATTACAGTGTCCATACAGAAGTTAATGTAGTCTGTGGTACATTCAACCATTTTATCAAGGTCAGGGTCAAAACAGTCTTTTAGAGACTCACTGGCCTCCGGGGTCCAGTTCCTGAATGAGCGGGTGGTTGCAGCCTGCCTCAGTACACAGGGCTTGTAGGAAGGCTGAAGAAAAACCAGATTATGATCTGATCTGCCAAGTGGTGGTAGAGCTGAAGCAGTTTAGGCCTCCTTGACATTTGCATACAACAGATCCAGTGTCTTATTTTCCCTCGTGGGACAGTCAACATACTGAGTGAAGCCAGTCAGGTGAAAAGTGAGAGTGACATGGTTACAATCCTCCAATATTGCAATGAATGCATCAGGGTGCTGGGTCTGTACTCTCGCAACAGTCTCGTGAATGACGTCACACGACTGCAGGCTCTGCTTGTGGTTGAATGTAAACAGCAATGGTGACGATGTGAGAGAACTCCCTCTGTATATAGTACGGTCTAAGACCAACTGCCAATTACATAAGAATGATATTTGTACAAAGCTTTACTTACCATAAGGCGGCACGGCGGAACAGTGGTTAGCACTTGTTCTGGGTCTTTGCATGTTCTCCCTGTGTCTGTGTGGGTTTTCTCCGGGTACTCCGGCTTCCTCCCACAGTCCAAAGACATGCAGGATAGGGTAATTGGTGACTCTAAAGTGCCCATTGGTGTGAATGTGTGTGCAAGTGGTTGCTTGTCTCTATATGTCAACATTGTGATAGACTGGCGACCTGTCCAGGGTGTACCCCACACTTGCCCAGTGTCAGCAGGGATTGGCTCCAGCCCACCCCCCCCCACCCCATGAGCCGGGGCCAGACAGAACATTCATAATAATGCGTGCTGCATTACATATGATCTTGACAGTGCAGAGAGTGAAAGATATTAGTTGCAGTGCATTGTGATGTGTAGTCTTTGTGATTGTGAGACAGCCTTGGGGAACCCTGCAAAATAAAAGCTAATTACTGATCCCAGTCTCAGGTGGCAGCAGGATGTCATTTCAAGTCATAAAGGAAAGAAGAAGAGCGATGCAAAGAATTAGCTTTGATCTGGGAGCATGTCTGCAGAGTGTAATATTAAAGATGTAAGGCTAGGAAGTGTTGTTCAGATAAATAATAGACTGTGACAAAAAACAGTCATGTTTGATTAGGGAAGTCATCAGAGAATGATAGCACATCTAATCAGGGTCTCAAACTCGTCTCCTGATGTAAGGCTATGCAAATTAAATCGGCTTCACCATCGATCAGATAATCGAGGAAAGGACACCCCAGGTCTGACAGCTGCTTCAGGCTCAGCAGGAGGGAGGAGAAAGGGACAAAGTTTGTTAAAGAAAACCTGCCAGCAAGTAGGTTAAGTTCATAGAGTCAGCTACCACTGTAACTCAAACTCCGGGTCATCCCCTAACCTGCAGAGTTAGAGTAGCCTTTCTTTCTGGAACAAAAGCTCAGAGTCTTCCTTAACCAACTCAGAGTTCTCACTAAACCTGCTTTCTGGTATTACTTCTGGATTAAAGCCCTGACCATGAACTACAGTTTGTTGCATGTTGTTAACCCTCTCTCTCACTCATGTCGTGTCTCTTTTCTCACTAATAAAGTCATAAAATGCCCCAAAAATGTTTTTTAATGTTTGTTTTTTTATGTTTGTTGTTTCCTGCTTGTGATTCACTTGCTCTTAGGTCAAGTTTCCATCCAAATACTGTGCATATCTTCACTGAATTTCCAGAAAACAGACAAAAATGCATTTTCCCATGAATTATGCAGATATGAGCTTTGTGACATTAATTCTCCAGTTAAACCACTACAGAAGGAGAGAGTGCAAAGAAATAATGTAATTAGAAGAGTGCCGGTCAAACCTCAAATAAATAGAAACCATGTACTGGAAAACGTTGCATTCATGATCTTTTCATGCATTTGTTTTATCTCAACGTTTTATTACATTGTTCAATTTCTAAAAGGGAAATTCATTGTGGTGACAAAGACAGACAATGTATATTAAGTCTGTGAATCATTTTGGGTTTATCTCTGGGGGGCTAAAAATCCCTGCCGGTGCAGAAGATGGGCGAAATGTGTTAAACATCACCCAAGCAACTAAACTAAAAAGAGCTTTTGTCAGAGTGTTTTGGCTGCAGCACAGAATCTACTTTGAGCTGCTGCTTTGGAATCAGTGTAGATGTAATCTCCTCGTAGTGGAGTGTAGAGTAGTATGACATTTAAAATCACAGCACATTGCTTCATTTCTGTAATGTTTGAATGTTTGAAATGAATTTGAATCACATTAGGTGATAAACTGAATTTGTCCCTTTGAACTTTTGAGTGCCTTTTTTTGGTAAAGCTTTATACACCACACAAGTTATATTTAGTGTAAGAGAGATTGATAAGATACTTATTGGATATCTATACTAAAACAAATAGATACTGAATCCCTATTTTACAATTACTGGGTGCCATATGTTATGACCCAGAGGTCATTTGAAGCACTTTTCTGATGTGTAATTTGTGTGTGCTTTAATGTGTGCTGGTGTTGTGGATATCTCTCTTTCTTTCTAGGGTTCCTGCTGAGGTGTGTGTGTGTGTGTGTGTTGGGATGTAGGTGTGCAGGGGCTGATTGAACGATTGACTCTGTTAGTTTGTAGGTTGTTCCAGGGAGCTGATTGGTGCCAGCCTCCAGGCTTGCAGTTTTAAAGCCGGCTTCTTCCAGCTTCTGCAGGGGCTCATCTCTTCCACTTCCAACCAGCCTGCCAGCCAAGATGTTCTGATATTGTATATAGTTGCTCATGTGAAATGTCAGCCCAGGTGCCGTAGGGGTGGGTAGCAATTTTGTTTAACCTAATTTTCTCCTGTTTTTTGTTAGATAAGGAGTTAGGTTAGTGGCTTGTTTTTTTGTTTAGGTTCCTTAGTCTTAGTTCCTTAGTCTTAGTTACTTCTGTTTGTTATTTTGCTGTTAGTCCACCCTGAAGAGAAAGAAATCTTGAATAAAAACCCTAATGGGCAGTAATTCCTTGTGGCTGGTGGTTCTTGGGAGCTGGGAAGAGGGGAGTCTCTCAGCATTCATGTTGCGCCAGGGTTTCCCCTAGGCCGGGTCGTAACACATTATGTTGTAACCTTAATATCGTTACAGAAAACAGTATGTGCCAATGTTTTTTCACAATGACACTAGTTATGGTGTGGTAAGTTAAGTTAAGTAAGCTAAGTGTGGTAAGATATCCATTATTCACAACATGTGGTGCAACAACATGGCTAGCATCCACTGCGCAACACTCAAGGCTTCCCTCACCTAAAACATACAGTATATCAAGTAAAGGAATATATACCACTGTTTTGTATTGAGACACTGAAAAAATTTCAGTAGCTATTATAGTTTTCACCCTTTCCAGTGTATATATATGAAATGAAGGTGAATTTAATTTCTAGATCACTTCTAAATACTAATTTGTCAAGCTCTTTCTTCCTGTACTTGTTCCCAGAAAGCATTTCACTGGTAACCCATGTGTACAATATATTTACTTAGTAAATTGCAGGCTGTAGTCTAAAGCATCTCTCTTGTTACTTCCATGATTCCACTTATTAAATATGAATGGTTAATAAAATGCTAAGACTATAGGGTGTGTGTTGAATGGTTTGAATTAAGAATGCTGATCTGTCAGCCGCACCGTACCTCCTCCTCTCTGACTGTCTGGCAGCTGGGGATGCTGCAGTGGCGGTTGCTGGTCATTCTGTTAGCAGTAAAGGTCGGAGTTGAGTCCCAGCCAGCTGTCAGACAGTCACTGACAAGGGTCAAGGCAGAAGACTCAGATTTCTGGATTTGGATTTCTGTGCAGCTTAGTGAGAGCATGGAGCATAATACTGTTATAGCTTTTTCAAATGATGTGTTTGCAGACTGATTTCAAAGGAGTGTAATATTCAGATCCTCCATGTAGTGAATTACATGGGAGTCAAGGGATATGTTTCTCACCTTGGTCACCTCGACTTATAATGACATGCTGCAGCTAATGACACATCTGTAAATCACTGAGACAAAAGCATAATTGCTGCTGTGTCTGTCACCTGATGGCTTCTTCAAGTTCTATCCTCCAAATGGAAGATGCAGAAACTATCAGGTGACATACAGCAGAGCAGACACAGGGGCCTGCGGAAAAACAAGATAAACTACAGACAAACAGAAGTCTGTGTGGCTAAGCACCTCTTAAGAGTGGAAATAAATATTTCCACTTTAAATCCAAAGGGACATTTTTCTCAACAAGTGCTATTGGGAAGACAGAACACAGTCACATGAAAAGTCACAACAGTTTATTATTTGGTAACGCCTCAGAAATCATCACCCCTTAGGATAAGATAAAAGTCTTTGAAAAATGTAAACATGTTGCAACATTTATCAGAGCATCTTATCTGAAGATACTTAATATTTAACAAACACAGACCCACCTGTTGTCTCATAACAGACTGTTTTAACCAACACCTAACCAATATCTGTCATTATCATAAATATGACCATACAGATAAGATGTAAACTAGACTGAACAATCACATCCAAAGAATACATGATACATTACATATTTACAGGATAAAATGCATTTACATTTGACACTTTCACATTCTACACAAAGCTCCATAGATTAATTTTTGAAAAATTATGGATTATTCATCCATTTCGCAAGATCAGCTCTTACATAAACTCATTGATGAACAAATTTACATGCAATGAATTAGAAAATAGAATCTTTAATACAAATGGTGCGTCCATTTCATGATTCTTATTTGTCTTTCTGGCAAAAATAACCTGATCCATATTGTACTGTTGATTCCATAGTTTGCTCCATTTGTCAACTTTAAAGAATCACATTGTACGCCACAATTACACTAAGACTAACGGTGTATTCACAATGCAGTTGAAAAACAACGATCTTGCACTGCACTTTCTGTATTGATTGGCATTCACAGTAATGGGGAGGTGTGCACTTAAGCTGTTTGTTGGCAACAATGTGAATACATCTTTAGAGTAGACAGACACGCTAGCCACTCTCTGAGACATAAGCACACTGGTTCTTTGTGCTAAATGCTGACGTCAGCAAGCTAACATGCTCACAGATAGCAATGGTAAAATGCTGGTGTATCATATTTACCATGTTCAACATCTTAGTTTAGCTTGTTACCATGCTAACATTCGCTGATTAGCACTAAACACAAAGCACGGCGGAGGCTGATGTCATTAGTTCTGTGAGAATTTGGTCACAAACAAATGTGTACTGCACTGATTCAAATTCTGAACTGATGATGATGCTAGAGGTAAAGTTACCAGGACACCAACTGTTCATCCTCTGGGGATCATAAATGGCCAGATTTCATGGCAGTCCATTCAATAACCCTCTCAATCAATATTAATCAGTATCACAAATGTCAACCTCATGGTGACAATAGAGGAAAAGTCACGGGAATTACCATAGTAATTAGGATTCATCCTCTGGGGCCCATGAATGTCTGTGAATTCCATAGCAAGTCATCCAGTAGTTGTCAAGATATTTCAGTCTGGACCACAGTGGTGGAGCAATGGATCAACAAGACACCATCTCTTGAGCCACACCACTAAAAAGAATATAGAAATCCATTAGAAGTACTGTTCTGGTTATGTAATAATGACTTAACGGCCATCATCTCATACCTCATCAGTGTAACATCCCTATAATGACTTGCAGTGTGTGTGGTACTCAGTAGTGAGTTTCAACAGGAAAGCAATTGTTCATTTCTATAGAGTGCTCTCACTACAATATACTGCTACCACAGGGACTTGTAGTACTGTGATGCCTGTCCTCACACTTACTTCAGTCTTTCTCATAAGGGAGCAATATTTTTACACCGTGTTCAACAGGCTGGGTTGAGGTGAGAGATGTGTCTGTGAGACGTCAGGCTTTTATCTACTGTCTGACAGGCTCTTCAGGCTGATGTACAGGGAGCTGACCATGGTGGCCTCCTCCTGCATGGACTCCTTCAGATCAGGCTGACCCATGCACATCAGGGCCACCAGTCTGTTGGGCAGCTTCCCACTGAACAACAGGTAGATGCAGGGGTTCGCACAGCTGTTCAGACTGGCCAGCAGCATCAGGATGGTAAAGGTTGCCGCTGGAAACACAGAGGAGGAAATGAGAGAGATATTCATATGAGCCCTTTTCTCCTTTTGTTTTATCCATTTTAAATTGAGAGGACCTTCTCTTGGTTATAGATACATGTTGTCAATAATTAAACTCTATATGGAGATGGCACCCTCCTTCTATAATATTATCTTTTTTTTTCTTTTTATGAGTGAATACATATTATATGATAAATGCAGGGTCATAATTTTAAGGTTATGATGTTACCCTATTTAAAAGCACTTACAGAGAACCAGATCTGGATTCCAAACTTGATTAAAAATAATTTCACAGGATTATTTTACAGGAAATCTGTCAAGCTGTGACCAAGGATATTTAACTAGTTTTTTTTTGGTTTTTTTTCCATTGTTTGGCTCAGAGTTTATTGCCATTCTTTGAATTGAATACATCACAGCTGATAATGTGTCATACTGTTGCATGCTGTAATTCTTATGTTAGAATGTATATTTGTATGTAAAAAAAATATTTTCTATGTAATTTTTTCATGTTGTCAGATCCCTGTTGTCTTACTCTGAGTGGGCGCCTCAACGTCCCAGACAGACCAGAGCTGCACGGTGAAGAAAGGCGTCCAGCAGATGATGTAGGCGAGCACAATGACCACGGTCATCTTCACCGTTTTCACCCTCGCCTTGGACACTCCTGCCACGCTGCTGGCCCTGGAGGACAGCGGCTTACTGACCGCCTCTCCGACATGGTGCGTCTTCATGTGGAAGTTGATGCGCACGGTGCGGCAGATGCGCACCTGGCACACGATAACCGTGATAATGGGCAGGATGAATATCACCAGAGTCGTCCAGGTCACGTAGGCTTTCGGTCCCCACGGCTTGATGAACTGCGCCCAACAGTCGTACACACCGGGAGCGACCTCGACCCGAGAGAAGATGAAAATCTGCGGGAGGCTGCCGATGAGAGAGACGCACCAGGCGGCGCACACCGGACCGTTCAAGCGCGCCCTGCGCCTCTGGAAAGTCACCATGGGGTTGCAGATGGCTTGATATCTGTCTACTGTCATCACTACTATCATGTAAGTGGAGGCAAACATCCCGACCACCTGCAGGTACTTCACAGCGCGACACAGTATATCTGGTCCGACGAATCTGTCGGTGATGTCCCACATGAGTTGCGGACAAACTTGGAAGAACGTGACCACCAGATCTGCGAGGCACAGGTGGAAAACGAAGACGCGCATCCTGGAGAGCTGCTTCCTCCGCTTCCACAGCACCATGAGGAGCCCGAAGTTTAGGATCCCCGCAGTGATGAAGATGATGGACAAAAGAATTATTTCCACCTGAGCCAAGCTCTCATCTCGCGGCTCATCCCCAAAGAGCGCGCTCTCCAAAGTGCTGTTACTGATGTTCACTCGAAACCAAGCCATGCTTTCACACCAAATACAACACTACAGGGTAGCTGAACACAATTATAAACCCATTCCAGGTGAATCCAGCTAAAGTAGAGGCATACAAAATATAAAAAACTTTAAACAGACAGCCTGGGATTCACTTTTAATAATGTCATTAAAAGGTAATTCCTAAAAAAAAAAAATCGTTGTGGGAGTTTAAAGGATGCATTCTGCAGGCAGAAACTGAGGTATTAGTAAAGGAGAGATGGGGGCTTTATATCTCCTCATCTCTGCAGGGGGGAGGAGCAACACCACTCCAGCACAGAAAATACACAGATCAACCACCACATTAAATCAGGTAACTGGCTTTAATGTGGTGCTGCTCGGGGCATATCCGTGGTCTGTTTTGAAAGACCTCATGCTGAACCATCAATAATGAGATTTAAAACTTATTTTGTAGTTTCAATTATTTTTCCATCATGCATCATGGCACCACCAAGTCAAACATACACCAGTCTTCATTTCTCACAGCTCCTGCCACAGGATTTACACGAGTGCAATGCACTTCAAGCAAACGAATCACCAAGTGTCTTTAATTAAAAAGAAAAAAACATTTTTCATAGAGGATATTTTCCTCACTAAAGAAATGATATATTACTGCAGTTAAATAACAAAACTTCTTACTGTTTCAACAAATAAAAATAACCTTTTCTATGGTGTGGCGACCCCTGCTGCTAACTAACTCAAGATTTATATCTCACTATTCATAACAGATTACTATATCCATGTTTCACCTTCCTTCATCACACCTCACCACATAAGTGACAAAGATGTTAATTGGCTGAGCATCAGTACAGTGTCGGCCATTTATCTGAGGACCTTAACATAAACAGCAGGGCTATGTAATAACACATGGTGAAATCAGCTGCCATTGTCCATTTCACATTCTGTCATAAGGTGATCTCTTTAAGTTTACATGGAGATGCAGATGAACAGAAGTGGCCTTGGGGTAATTTAGAATGAAATTACATTCATCAATGGGTATGCACGTGTCAGTTCTTGTTGCGTCCTCTGTCAACAATACGCCTCAGTCTGCTCAATCGACACCTGTGAGCAGCACAGTTACAGTGTCAGTTGTCCGGACTGTTATTGTCTATTGTCATCTGACACAAAACACCTGCTTTTCTGTTCATTTCACATAACTGAGCAGTTCATCTTTGTCCATCTGGTAATGACTTTTCTTCCAGATGTCACGCAGCTTCTGTAAGGTAGCACCAATCTCCTTGCCTGACGTGACACCCAGCCTCCTCAGATCGTGCCCGCTGACAGGGAATCGAGGGATTGACCATCTGCTGAGCTCTGCAAGTAACTTCTTCTCACCTTGGTACTTCAGCAGCTCACATACTTTACTCTGAGAATCCAGCTCCCGGCTCTGAAAAGATATGGCATGTGTGAGAATTAAAGCCCCTGAAAACTCTGTTTTAGATTTAAATATCTTCTATAACATTAAATATTCATCACAAAAAAAAACAACAATCAAAGGTTGAATGAGGAGAAAAAACTATTATTTATTTATGGGTCAATATTAAAACATTCAGCTGATCTGTTTTATCAGGACTACATGGGTGTGGTTTGATTGGTTTAATTGATGATTGTCTTGCAACATAACGAAACAAACCTGTAGCTGTCATCAGATTTTGATTAAAATATTCCTAAATCCTGATTAGTTCACAGAAATGTGTGACATCACTTTTTTCTGCCCACTTCAAACCAGTTAGAAAGGCACAAAAAACCTCCAGAAATAACCACCACTGTTCTAACTTTTTGGTGTACTAATTTTCTCTCCTCCTGCCTTGCCTACTTCTGTTACAATTAGTGAGTTTTAACAGAATTTTACTGAAGCTAAATCCAGTGTTTAACGAGATTATCACATCTGAATCCTTTCAATTCCCTTTTTGAATCCACTTAAGTTGTTGCTTTGTTTTTGTTTTGTTAACAAAGTACTAAAGTTAACAAAGTACTAAACTAAGAAGCTTAGTAATTGAAACTAAAAATAAATGTTAACTACATTTGACTATCAGTACCCAATCCTAGTTAGTGATTATAAACATTTTCTAGGATGCCTCCTGTTGTCAGTGTGTCAGTACGGGTGGGAACATGTTGCATTCAGATGTGGGTGATGGATGCAGGTGGACCACTGTCCAGCAAGAGCAGGGAAGTAAGATAAAGGCTACAATGTGTGTGTACAAAGTAACTAAAATCATTTCCATGGTTGGTTAATCTGCTCATTTAGTAATTAATTTTTGTGGTCACATTTTTCTAAAGCCCAAGGTGATGTCTGCAAATTGCCTGTTATCCAAAACCCACATATGGTAGTGAGTTATATATCATAGGACCTGGAACCAGTGATTTTTATCTCCTTTGATATTTTTGCTGGAATATATTATGACTGAACTTCGTGTAGCAGCTGCTACATTGCAGGTGTCTGTCCAATCAGCTTCAAAATCAGCTGAATCAAGCTGGTATAAAATAATAATGCCTGCCTAGAACATGGTGTGTACACTCTGAATACTCATGGCTAAAATCAATGACCACATTGTCCCACCATGACTCTCTCAGGCTATTTTTGTTTGAAACAAACATGACGAATTAACATATTATTGTATTGACGCACTAACTGAGGAGACTGAAACTTACGTCAATGATGAAGTCAGTGAAGGGTTTGAGGCTGTCCGGCTCGTCTTTGCTCTTGCGGAGCTCTCGTCTGTATTTGATCAGGAACAGAGCCAGAGTCTTCTCCTCCTTAGACACCTTCAGTCGGATGTCCATCTTTTCTACCTCCTCTGGGCAGCGGAAGAGAGCCGCCAGGATGGTCATGGGTTTGGGAGAGTGGTCTTTGGCGTTCTGCCACACTTCCTTCATCTCCTCAACATCGCCATCTGGAGGTAAACCTGAGCAGGAGCGAACAGAGAAGGGATGAGCAACAGAGCAGAACAGAAACAAGAAAAAATTTATTTTATTGTAATTACGCTGATTACTTGTCTGAAGCACCGGTGTCCTGTTATAACAATTCTTACCATATAACTGTTACGAGTTAAACATTAAAGGGTCATCCGGCTAGTGCTGACTAATACCAGGGTTCAAATCAAATCCCACTTCAATCTCAGGAAAGGAAATTGAGACATTCCTTTTTCAGAAACGGCTCCAGTTTCTTGACAATTAATGACACTACTGATCCTTTTAACTAATGCCTGCACTTTGCAAATAATGACTTGATAGCAGTCATTATAGCTGAGACCATTGTCAAGAGGGATCTGATCCATGACAAACATTATGTTCCAACAGTTGGGAACATTTTTACCAAATATAAAAGCTAATGGAGACATTTGAGCCATACAGACATTTATTGCTTGAATAAGAATATAATATACATATTATCTTATGTAATCAATTTTAGAAGTTGTTGTTATAAAACTAGTTCATGAGGATTGGCAAAGTTTAATTTTTGCTAAGAAGAAAGTAAACAATTGTGATTCATGTACGCATGTTTATCGCACCCACTAATAGTCAGGATAGCTTGGCCTCTGCTGCTTCAATTAGTTGTGTGTAAAAGGCAGTTGTGTAGACAAACACTGTACCATAAGCTGCACCTCTTAAAGGGATAGTTCTGGTTATTTGATGTGGGTTGTGTGAGGTAGTCATATATAGTCGGTGTATTACCTACAGTAGCCGCAGTCAGTTCCTAACTGGGACCGCGCTGATTAAAATCTACTGTAGGCAATGTACTGACTATATATGACTAACTCACACAACCCCAGGTCAAAAAAAAAAACTGTACTATCCATTTAATACAGAGTGTGATTGCTGCAGAAACTGTGTAAAATCATTTCATTGCACCCCACTCACCTGTGTACTGGGCCAATTCCAGCCTGTACATCAACTCCAGCAGATGAGCAGCATGGTTACCAACCACCATCTTTTTTATCTCCACCCAAATCCGTTCTCCTGATACTGCTGCCAGTCCACGGCCATTTTCCCTGATGGCGGTCAGTGTCTCAGGCTCATGGTCATCAGGTTCCAAGGCCACCCTGCCATAGAACCTGGGGTGAAATAACAAGATTAAGGTCAATACACTTTCACTTCAAACAAATACAGAAGATGATATTAGTCTTCACCTTCCATTTTTATTTTTTCTTGTTAAAATTTTTTTTAATTTTTTCCTCATGAATTGGGTAAGATGAAATGAAACGAAACAGACCACCTGAAATATCGCAGTATTCTCAGGTAGTCCTCTTGGATTCTTTGCTCAGCGCTGCCAACAAACCGAACTTTTCGGTTCTGCAGGTCTTCATATCCTTTGAAATAGTCGTACAATGTGCCATCGAGCCCTATAAAGGGCAAAAGAAATCATGGTGAGGACTTCTGACACATGTATATACCACATGCATCTCCATAACTCAAGCCAACACAATAAGTCATAATGATTTCTCAACACAGTTCACTTGATTCAGTGAATTACAAAAAGGCACAGTTACCTAGAAACATGGAATTGATGGTGAGGTCTCTCCGCTCAGCGTCTTTCAGCCAGTCAGTGGTGAATTCTACCTCTGCATGACGTCCATCCGTCTGAACATCCACTCGCAATGTGGTCACCTCAAAGTTCTCATTGTGTAGCTATAAAAAAATAAAAAAATTAAACAACAATAAAGAAAACACATATGACAAGAGGCACATTATGACTGCCCTTGTGGTGCTGTGATAGGATTCAGATGATGCATGTCCTCATTTTGAGTCAGTGTCCATCTACTCACTCTTACTTGTGGGTGGCGTAGTAGTTCAGAGGACACTAAAATATAGTTATTTCACAATCTGTACATGGTAAAAGGTACCTTTCATATAATATTATCTTATATGGAATAGTTTCTGACATTTTCTCATGTATGCAACCTTATGGAACCATTTGTTCCAGCCTGAACCCACTGCCTAATTTGATGCAACATATTTACATATTCCAGGAATAAACAAATCAGAGACATAGCTTCCTGTTACTTGGCTGCTTGTCTCCTTGGTGATCTTCCACAATCAATCATGATGGCTAGTCCATTAACATCTTTAAATCAAGAACTATGACCTATTTAACTGATCAATCAGATTGATTGCATGTGGAACAAGCAAGTGTCTTTTACCCGTGCAGTAATGGTCCCATGCTTCTCTCCTTTATTGTTGATCATTCTGATGCCAGCAGTCTGGAACATGTGCTTCATCTCCTCTGGAGTGGCTGTTGTGGCAAAGTCCACATCTTCAGGCCGCTTGCCAGACAGCAGATCCCGTACCGCACCTCCAGCTATCCTCAGCTCATGCTGGTGCTTCTCAAACACCTCTGCAAAGACCAAACACACACTTAAAAGAGTTGGGTTTCACTGGTGGAGTTAAACCTGGAGGGGCAAATAACTTCCCAAAATGAAGAATTCCAGTGTCATGAATCAACACAAACATTCAGTTTTGTTTTTCATTTATATTCTGAGTCTGGCTCTCTGCTCTCTTTTCACTCAAACGCTGAGATTATTTCTGCCTCCAGAGCAGCTTTGGTAGTGTTTTTTTTTTTTTTTTTGAACCGTCCTGCTCCCTCTCAAACCTGTATAAATGATTTTGCATGCTCTCTCATCATTTAAACTCTGACTTTAACTGCCTCTGCTGACATGACTGTGGGAAACGAGGCAAGAAGTTCTGAGTGACCACAGCAGCCAAGTGTCTGTCCACGGCTGCACCTCACCTGCTAATCCAGTCAGTCCATCGGTGAACAGAGACTGGAACTCACTGGTCTTCAGCTGCATAGTGTAGAGACTCCTCCAATAGAAACCTGCTCTACCGATCACACGAGGACTCAGTATCCTGCTCCACATCTGTACAAACAACAAAAACATAGTAATGTACTTATGTCTGGTACCGTCCATCAGCTTTTATTGAGCTAGCTAACGGTACGTGTCCGCGTGCACCTGTCACGTTGTTTACACATAAACAGCAAGTGAATAACACCGTCGTGTCAACATTTACGTACCAGATATATCACACAGACGTGACTGCAACTCAAACAGAAGAGTTTATGAACATACAGCGCAGTTACCACTTCACAATGTTGCTCTGTCTTCAGCCGTGTAGGGCTACAGGAAGACTTCTCAATAACATGCGGTCGCTAACCAATAGCGTAAGGCTTCGTCACTTCCACGAGGCGGGGTTTAAGAGCTTGTGCTACTAGTAGCTTTCTCGCGAGATATTCGCGTGGCGGCGCTTCAGGTGATTTTCCGGCTGGTTCCGTGCTGTCACTTCAGTAAACGGAGCAGGAGACAAATGGCCAAAGTAGAGCTGACACCGCTCAGACCGTGGGACGACTTCTTCCCCAGCTCGGAAAGATTTGCTAAACCAGATGTGAAAGATTTGGCGAAATGGAACAACAGAGTTGTCAGCAACCTGCTTTATTATCAGACAAATTATCTGGCTTTAGCCGTCGTTGTTTTCCTCATTGTCGGGTAAGTGACGTTGCACAGAGTAAGTTATGGTATCAATACAGCAGCTGTGAAGTGTTATATTCTGTAGTCTGCAGGTCACTTTATAAGTCGTTCGTCACCTTTCCTGGTATATTTATCCCTTGATGTTTCCCTGCTGGTGTAACCTGGGGTGTAGCCTACTTTAAAGGGATTTAAAATGAGGATACAGGCAGGATGTAGGCTGCTTAAGAATTGAAAGGTATTGTTCCAGCTTTCATATGATGCACTGTGACTGTTATGTTCTCAGCGGTAACTTTTCTCAACATGAAAACCAAACTTAAGAACATTTCCTCAGCTTGTGTCTCTCCTGTTGGAATTTTACTCAAAACATCAATATTTAATCAATAGAGTTGAAATTCAAATAGGCTCCCAGGATATTCTCACTTACACTGTTGGAAACACAGACTGAACTGGAGGGAGAAAAGATGAGTCAGCAACCACTTTTAGGCCTGGCTCATACTGTATATGAATCTACATCAACATTTCCATAGGCGTGAAGTACAAGCACAGCTCCAGACTCCTGCAGACTGCTCAGAGAACTAGTTTATTATCTGATAGCTCCATACAAGGCCGATTCAGGTCAGGGAACAAGAGGTTAAGCCTCTACTTTATGAAATATCTTGGCTTTAGTTGGTACTTTGTGTCAACTAAAGCCTGGCTTACTAAAAATAGTGTTGCCCTGTCCACTGAGCTGTGTGATGACATATTGTTGCTATGGTCGTGAAGCCCACTTTAGCTGTTTGTCTAGTCAGCTGTTGTATTGCAGCACAGTTGTGAGAAAACAGCATCTTAATCAGCTGGCCCCTGTATCCTTGATTAGAGATAAAAACCCAGTATCGGGTATGCTCTCATTGAGTCAACCCTGAATCATGACCCCAAACCAACCAACAAGGTTGAACTTTGACACAGTCTACACAGTTAACTTGTTTAATAAAAGCGTATTATGTTATTTTTATCCCGTTTGGAAACAGCTCAACCATGTCCCTGCTTTTGCATGGAGCTCATTTGCATTAGTAGATGTAACAGTCTCAGGAAGCTCATTAAGCCATAGTACATTTTCATCAAGCCACGCACAGGATATAGCATAGGTTTGCCATTACCCAAATAACACAGCAATATTATCCTCTCGGTACTGAATGATAACTCTAGTCTAAAAACCCGGAAGCCTGCAAAATCAGCTGCTTTCATTGAACTTTCACTGATTCTGGGTCCTTATACAGTTCTTCTAACATAGAAAGCATGTTTCCAGACCATGTAACAGGGCCTGTAGTTCACATCTCACGAGGTGAGGACTTGTAATAGTTTTCCAATAAAGAACAACAAGAATCAACATGAAATCACATGTAAAAGTAGGTGAAAAACACACAACTTTGCACAACTTTGTCACAGTAACATATTGGACAATGTGAGAGGTTCTGTAATGCAGAAGGTTTCAACCCCATCCAAGAATGTCAGAGGTCTATCTTCCAACATGTTCACGACTTCACAATGCAAGTGAGGATTTTTTATTCAGCATGGATACAAGGCGCATACATCACATGGCAGGACTGATGGGTTAGGCAGCTAACTTGTCGTGTTGTTTTTTGTTTGTTTTTTTTGGACTCACAAAGATAGCAGGCTTTGTTCAGGATTAGACTGACATCCTTACAAATCAGTAGATAGATTTTGCAGTGGATGGCAATATATTAGATTGGAAATACAGTCAATGTTTACAGTTCAGGCAGTGCCGTACTCTGACTTTAAATCATGGCCTCCATATCAGATAGTTAGTTTTATTTAGTGTGAGTAATGAAAAAGATTTAACATGAATATGAGGTACCTTGACTAATAAATTGTCTGGGCATATATATTGACTGATATCATCTTATCACAGATATATTGATATCAGCAAATATATCAAACGAGAAGTAACAAGAAGTTGCATATTATTTTTGAGGTAATTTAGAAAGTGTTACCATTACACGGGTTGTCCATCAGAGGGCAATGGCAAGTTGACTTTTCAACTGTGAAGAATTTAAAGGAAATTAAGGATTTCAAGGGATAAGAATTTAAGGCCTCCTTATAAAAGATATTTGTGTATATAATGTGTTTATGTAAAAACAATAGTGGTCAGCCAGTCAGTATTGTTATTGCATTTGTATAGAAAATGTTTTTATAAACTCAATAAAATGATGCCAAACATAAAGGATCAATGTGTCCTAGTGGTAGGCAGTGATTAGCCTTTATATATTTGCACACTGTGACTTAGCACCCACTTCATTAATGCTATGTTTTGATCACAGACACCTTCATCAAGCATTGTTTTCTTTAAGTTTTTTTTTCAACTTTGTGAGACCCAGTTATCCAGGATCACCACTGTTAGTGAAGCCATACACCTCAAAGAGAGCCTGAGTAAACCAAACTGTGAGACAGGCCCTTGGTTTCTCACTGAAGTCATGACCTTGACCTGGCGACATCACTGCAGTCGTGCCAGGGCTGGATTTGTCACGGAGCTTTTCTGTCCAAGGTGTTTGGCCTGGGAGAAAACAGTTGGCGTGTGTGTGTGTGTGTGTGTGTGTGTGTGTGTGTGTGTGTGTGTGTGTGAAAACTAGCTCGTCTCAGGCATAAACTTTGACCGTGAAAAAGAAGGTTTTAAGGGCTGCAGTTAATTATCATTTTTATTATTGAATAAATATGACAGTTATTTCCTCAATGAATTGACTAATCATTTGATTTATAAAATGGCAGAAAATGATGAAAAATTCCCATCATAATTTCCCAGAGCCCATGTGTTACTTTTGAATTCCTTGTTTTATTTGACTATTAGTCCAAAATCAGTTTACCACCACACGAGACAGGGAAAAGCAGCAAGTCCTCCATTTTAGAAACTGAGACGAGACAATGTTTGGTATTTTCCTGTTTAAATTACTCAAACAGATATTCAATTTTAGTAATAGTTCCATATTAATTTTCTGCTTATTTGACTAATAAATTAATTCACTATTGTTTCAGTTTTAGTTTTTGCCTTTTTTTTCTTTTTCTCTTTATTATGTTGATGAACACAGTGTAGAAAAACTGTAATAATTTCAAATCTACATGAAATATTACTCAGCACAGACTTTTTTTTTTTTTTATGAAAAACCGGCCTGTGATACTATTCAGTGTTGTTGCACAAACAGCATCTAAACACTTGGTGGAGCCAGTGACCACACACAAGAGCCCTGCCTGTGCTCCAGTTGTATGAGAGCAGTTTTAAACTGACCCCCCCCCCCCAACCTCTGGTGTCCTGCCCTGCAGGTTCCTGAACCCTCTGGGGATGTTCACAGCCATGGCCGTGGTGTCAGGCGTCTTCCTGGGTTCAGTGTGGGCCGGAGAGAACAGAGCTGTGATCAACAACTTTAAGAGGCAGAATCCCACAGCGTTTGTGATCGCCATCATGGTCGCCAGCTACATTGTAATTTCTATGCTGGGGAGTGTCATGGTGTTCATGTCGGCAATCACTTTACCTCTGGCTTGTAAGTTCAAGAGAATAACGTGGGAAGGTCACATTTTAAATTTAAATCCATGAACGACACATAATGTTCATATATACCTGTTACTGCAATATAATTTTTACAGAGACTAATGTTAAATTTCATATCTGATCCTTTTTATTACTCAATAATCTTTTTAGAGTATATTGATCTATGCATTTGAATTAGAAAATTAGTTCTTCGGACTCGATGAAACATGTTTTTCAGATTCTCAGACTGATGTTATCATAGTCTGACTTGAACAGAAGTTTATGGGTTTGTTTTTGCCAAACGTTGACAACTTTAACGTTTTCCCATCTGCCTTTCAGTGATATTTGCACATGCCTCGTTTCGCCTCCGCAACATGAAGAATAAACTGGAGAACAAGATCGAAGGTGCTGGACTGAAGAGGTCACCGATGGGCATTTTGCTGGAGGCTCTGGGTCAGCAAGAAGAAAACTTTCAAAAGATCCAGAGCTTTCTGGAGGGAAAACTGAAGGAGTGATTGCACTTGGATTGGACACACATGTCCATCTTTTGGCCAAAGATCTTGACTTTTTTCTTAGACATAACAGTTTTCTGTATCTCCGAGTCTAAACCTCTTAACATTTGTTTCATATACAGTGTGTTTACCCGTGTGTGTATTGAAAAGGTTTGTTATCTGAAGGGGTTTATCTTTACCTCAGGGTTATCTGTCACTCCACCAAGAACTTGTTGGGGCACTTTTCTCAAACACCAATGAGGGCATCTCAAGAGCTGCCTCACATCTCTGCTATGCAATGTATCAGTGTTCCACACAGCTGCAGACTCCTTCAGTCTTTGGTACGAAATCTGTGTTTAATCAGTCTCAGAAACGACCGTCAGTCCTGCCAGTTTACGCTCAGCTAAAATTGTGAAAGCAATGTGTTGCCTTTTAACAAAGAATAAAAAGTGCACACTCAACACATGCTGCTGCCAAGATACTCCAAAGGCTGGATTGTGTCCTCACATAAAATGTAACAGTCTACTGAAGTACACGTTTGAATAGAAACCAACCAACCTTATGTTCATGCAAATAAATAGAGCCAGACAAAAGAGAAAACTTTGTCTCCAACTATGAAATATCTTTGATTCCAAACACTGAGTCAGATCAGTGTCAATATTTAAAGTGAGGACTTCAAAGGAGTGCGAGGTCTTGACCCGTGCCCATCAGTATTCCTCCTGCACCTCTGGCTGTTTAATCTTGACAATGCCCCCTGGGTGATGGATTGGTTAACTTTGCTCTCCTCTTCACTTACGCCAATGCTAATCAATGGGCTGCAGTAGATTATAGTGCGGAGAGCTGAGCGCTGCACAGCGCTGAAGTGGATTCATCTGCAGTCATTCACCTCCAAATCCGAGTTAGATGCTGTGTCAGCTACTTTGGATGTTTTTTGTTTTTTTTGTTTTTTTTTATTTGATTCCATTTGAAATTGACTGCAGATAGCAAGAATCAATCTGGAATGTAATGCTCTGTTATGTGGTTTTAAGTGGCAGTGTGTAAGTAGGGAGGGGGGAGGGCATGAAGATAAGAATGATGGCCATTAAAAAGGGCAATCACTTCAAGTATTCATGTTAACCCTTTGATTTCAGCATTACTAAAATCCATTCTTTAGCATTTGGCGAAGCATATTTCCTCTGTAAGGAATGTGTGTTATTTTTGAAACGGGCCCTACTGCTGACCTCTGCACACTCAGGTGTAACACTATTCCAGTGGCTCTCCAGTTTAACTTTGACTCGAGCTGCAGTAGTGATTTATGTCCTCTCCCGCTGTGCCTCATCTTCATCTATATTGTGAAACTTGGGGAAGTGAACACAAGCACCGATAGCAATAAACTCAAGTACAGTCATGTCTGCAAGGCGAGGGCACAGGCGAGGTCCTTGTTCTTGCTGCTGCAGCTGCTGTAAGGAACCTCACCAACACGTGTGCTGCTGCTGCTCACCCAACAGGTGTGTGTCTTTGGTGTTTTCTCCTCAACAGACATGTAATCCAGGAGAGGAAGCGCTGCTACACAAGTACAAAACAACACTTATCCTTTCTTGGTGTTTTTGAGTGAATCAGGAGCACTTGACTAACTTGTCATTTTGAAACAACCATAATTGTGTCCAAAGGTAGTCTTCAGTGAGGCAACAGAAGTCAGTGGATGTGACATGAAAACAAACCTGTGTACTGTTTTGGCTGCAGATGCTGAGTAACAACACTGTCCTCCTTGTGCAAGCTTTTGATTTGCAACATCTGCCTGTCGTTTAGTTTTCACAATACAAAGTCATGTGACAGGGAATAATGTAGCATCATACAGCACTTAATTTTGTTGGGACAGACACACTTTGATAGCACGCTGCCTTCAGGTTGACCCTCCCATCACCACCCCTTCCCCTCAGCTCGCCTGAGAGGCTTTGGCTTTTGGCCGGCTAAGCTGGTTAGCCAGCCTCATAACTCAAACAGACTGTCATTCAGCAGATCCGGCTGCTAGGACCTACACTACAGCTGATCATGTGACACGTTAGTGATGACCCGCCGTGACCTTTGCAGTCTGCCGTATTCTCATGTGAGCTTCCCATACACCCACACTGCTTTTTTCTGCCTCCTTGATGGAAGGTCATCCATACTAGCTGATGAAGGAGGCCTCAGTGTACGTGCGCGGTCAGCTAATCCAACTATTCACCCTTCATAACTCATCAGAGCCATTACTCTCTGGATCAAGGTACAATGTGCTGATCTTGGGGATGATTTACACTCACTTTAATCTGAGTTTGACTTAACTATATGGCCAAGTTTAGTTGATCATTTGTCACACCTATTGTATGAGCTCAAAGATTGGGTATCTTTTTAAAAATTTTCCACAAAATAAAGTATCTATCTATCTACAAGCACCAATTTGATACCTATGATTCTGTACCAAGGCCCAAGGTATACTTTTTTTCAATACCTTACTATGAGATATGTTAAAATGCCTTTTTTTAGCTACCTAGGCAAAACAAAATAAGCCGTGAACACAAAATTAACATCACCTTATAAAGACAAGGTGGTTAGCCTACCATGTCTCTTTACACATCCTTTACAAATCCAGCAGATACAGACCAACACACATCCAATATTCATGCTCATTTTCATGCTACACAGTGTACAAGGTGGTTGCTAACTTTGTCTGTCTTCTGTTTGGTGCTGGACACGCAGGCAGTATAGTCGGGCTGTCAGAGGCTTCTTTGCTGAAAACAGCTGGCCACACTAAAAATGGGGGCTCATCGTTTTGATCAGCAGAACCAAACATTAAAGTTGCAGGGTGTAATACCGAAACAATGAGCTGAAAATCCCTAAAATGCACAATGTTCATATGAAAATATTGACTAGTGAAGCTTTAAATTAGGAACCATCTGATCAAAGGACATAATACCACAATTCTGATGAAAACATTTGATGCCGGCTTTCGGTTCTTGATAGTTTTTGATATGTGGTGTTCCAGACATTGATCTGTAACAGCAAATCTGCTTTCCGCATTAGAGGAGTTTCGTCTGTATTTGGATGAGAGGAAAGTACATTGGAGCTCATTGTTTATGTAGTCGAGTGTCAGCTGGAACAGCCTCCCCTGATGTCTGGCTGCAGCTGGTGTGAGGCAGCAGAGGAACAGAGACAGAGGGAGACAGCTGGATGCAAAACACTCCCACCCCTCTCACTGCCTCGGGTAAATCCGAGAAGCTGGAAGTGTCTGAGACCTCCTCTGAGCTCGCTCAAGAAGCATAACACTGAGGAGCACTGCAAGCAAGTAGAGCTGCTCAACTGTGGCCTTCCTAAGGAGGCCACCAATGGCAGGATACACTTGTAGAGGTAGAAAATGTGGGGAAGGAAGGGAGGGAAATGAGGTGAAGGGTTATAGCGTAATCTGTGGAGGGGGGTGGGGAGGTGGAGGAGGAGGCGCAGTACATGTGTAGAGCAGACTTCTATTGCATGGATGCCTGCAGGGAGGGTTTGGTGCTATAAACACTGGCTTGTCATTCACAGGGAGGACAGAAGACGAGGTTTTAGCCCATAGAGGGTGTGACAGCTTTTAAAGACTGGTTTGGTCGGTTTATGGCTTAAGGACACAAAAAAACCAGCCTGGCAGCACAGCAAGGCGGTGAGAAAATATTGCAGACTGACAGAGCTCTGCAGCAGGAGAGCTTTTCTAAAAACATCATTTATTCATAATTAGCTATCATCATGACTGATTGCAGCTCTGTGTTCATTCTTACAGGCTCGAAAAAGAAAGAAAAAACTGCACTTCATCCAGCACTCCACAGTTATCTTTCTAACTATAAGCTGCATCCTTGAATGTACACCAGATAAGCAGTTTCTAAACCGTTTATATGTGGAGAATGCATTTATGGGTTGCGGTTGTCCAGGACCACCATCGTAAGCCACAGTGGCACAGTGTGTTCTTCAATATGGCTACAGAACCTAAAGGAGACTTTAGGTTCTGTAGCCATATTCCTCTGAGTGGTGATACTTTCTTCAAACCCCATTTCATTAATTGAACTGGCTCAACAGACGTTCAGTTACTTAATTTAAGGGATTTGGATTTAAATCCTGTTTTCCTGCACTGAGAGGGATGAGATTTTCTTTCCTTTGGCTGTATTTATAAGTTTGAAAGTATATGTAGATATCCTTAATAAACCACACTGATTCAAACGCTGATTTTTTTTTAATTCAAACAAAAACGCAATTATATAAATGACTAAGAACCAGCTTAACAACAGTTGTTTACTATATATTACATGCTTTTCAAATACATAAAAATGCTCTAAAAAAAAAAAAAAAAAAAAAAAAAAAAAACCCTAAAAAAAAAAAAAAAAAAAAAAAGACAGAACCAGTGTATTTACAATAACATTTACATACAGCTTCATTCTCTGAGAGAAATTGGGAGCACCAGTCCATGATCTCCAGCATGGATGAAATACCCATGTTAAAATAATAAAAAAAAAAAATCAACAAAAACTTGATTTTCTGTCCTCCTGCAGCGACTGATCAGATGTGGCAGTAATATCAAAGATGGTGACTCGGGGTAATACTCAAATGGTGTGATGTAGAAGTATTTGGCTCAATTTTACTGTAAGTACTGATGGTGAGATAGACTGAATACTTTGTAAATGACAAGAGTTACAGGTAACACAGTTTGACAAAACTGGATCTGGTGACTGGAACGTTCCAGGAAGTAGGCATCTCTTTTTGACTCACTCTTAATGAGTTCAATCCTTCATTTCAATAAAGTCCTTGTCCATCCTTATCTGATCCTTCATGTTTACAGTGTTCATACGTGTGTGTAAGTAGCAGAGCAGAATGAGTCATTCTTGTTGTTCGTTACGGCTCAGTATCCTCTTCCAGAGATAGTCCTAGTCCTAGGTTTGTGAAGTTGGCATCTCTACGGAGAATCACTGGAGCTGTTTAATCCACATTCCCTTTGGCTATACCACACAGTCCACAGCAGGTCCTGGTATAGTTTCAGTGCACAAGTGCCATCACCACAAACACTCCCAATCCACACACATAGACGCTCCCGTGGGGTTTTGTTATGATTTCAACAAAAAGATGTGGGTCAGTCTGGCAATTGCGTTCATGACAACAGAAGATAAGTAGACTTCATTTCTTTTACAAACTGAATTCCACATTAAGTTCCTTCATTCTTTGGATCCCCTTTACAGAAAAACAGGGAAGTGCAGTCTAAGGCACAATGACAACTTGTCAAGGTGAAAAATTCATACAGCACAATGACAGATAGGCAACTACACTATTGTTCCCGGTTTTGAGTCTTCGTGCCAGCATATCTGCTCTTCTGGGTCCATGTTAGTGTGCATTTGGTTGCTGACATCTATGTAGGATCTGTAATAAACACACAAGAGTAAAACACATTAGACAGGTGGCAAACCGAACGTAGCTTGTGACTGATTAACCAAGAGTTTAGAATGAATTAACCCTGGGCTGCAATAATCCAACTATGAGCCAAGATCAGGAGCTAAATTAAAAGTAAAATTGTAAAAAAAATAATACAAGAACAACAAACAGCATGTCTTTCAGGCATGTTAATGTTCAAACCCAGGGTCAAACATTCTCGCCCAACAAAACAGCAGATGCACACAGACAGATGCATAGCCTTCAAATGCAACAATGTTCAGGGGTCACATTTTCCCTCTGCCACACAAGTGCTCTCCCACCACCACAAGACACCCGAGAAATCAGCAAAAATCAGAAAGATTCAAATAAAATGATTTGGAGCTTTCTGTCAGTCCCTGCCACGAATATAAGAAGACACATCACCATCACCATGATAACCGTGTGGGGTAGTTTTACATTCTGGTCTCACCCTTTCTTCTGTGCTGTGACTTTGATTATTGGGGGGAAGGGGTTAATTTTCCTGGTCAGTAGCATAGGCAACAGCACCAAACCTCTCTAAAGGCCCCGCAGGGCACGCCATCCTATCACAGCTCCGCCACTCAAACTCTGGGGGACATCTGCACATGAGAGGGGGCAAAGGTCAAGGGTGAATGACAGCACATGGGCAGGGAGCCTCTGCATGGGCCAGGAAGAAAGCAAACAGCATAGTAAAAATAAACTAAAAAAAACTGAGCAGCAAAGGCACACTGCAGAGAAATGTGACCACTGGATGGCAATATGCTTGCCGGAAGAGGAAGTAGGGCAGGCATGTTTTTTAAAGAAGCCATGCAGTTACTGTATCATACATGACAACTGACAATCAGTAAAACATCTCAAAAATGCAAAGTTCAATTCAAAACATCAACAAGCAGACTATGGAGTCACACTGCGAACAAACTGCAAAAAAGCAAACGCACAGGCTCCAGCTGTCGCTGTTTACTTACTATGAGCTACCTTTAGCAAAGGACACCTTATTGAGCCTTTGCCCTCTGGAGGATTGTGGCTGCGCAGGGCTGGAGGCCACCTGTCTGACCCGACAGCCAGGGGAGTAGGAGGAGGAGGGAAAGGAGGAGGGGGGCAGGGAGGAGGTGGAGGAGGAAGCTGAGGAGGAAGAACTAGCAGGGAAAAAGGCACAGCGCCTCTGGCCATCAGGGCTGTGCCAGGAGCCCTTTAAAAGCTGGGAGGCGCCATATCTATAAGAAAGCAGGGGCCGGTGGACAGTTAAGGAGGAGAGAACCATTCTTAAGCTCTGAGGAAGAAGTGACTGCTGGCTGCTCAGATCCTATAATCCTACTAGTAAACCAGGCTGTCACGTTAAATAGATACATATTTGTGGACTGTGGTTTCATAACTTAAAAGTGAAGTTAAAGAAAATGTAGATCTGGCTACACATTACTCCACAGAAGTGTTGTGCGTAAGGGATAACAAAACCAAACAGCAGCTTATATTTTCTGTAGCCATCCATTCCAGGTAATTAAACACTAGCACTTAGCTCTGGGGATAAGGAGGATCAGGGAGTGGCTTATTGGATAAGGAGCTGAGTTGAGGCCAAGTTTTTTTTTTCTCACCTGCTGTGGGCGGAGTGGCTATAGGGGGCTGTGCTGTAAGAGTAGGACGGCGGCGCATGCACAGGCATGTCATATTCCAACATACCACCACTCATGTGGTTGTGCCAGTTTCCAGTGGAGGACACTGAAGACACTGGAGAAAAAACAATGGTACAAGTTAGTCATGACCCACCAACATGTGAAACTAGGGTCAACAATATAATAAACCAGAGATTGTGTTATACAGGGTGTAGTGGTCTGACCTGATGAGTAAGAGATGTTCCTGTTGTTGTGGCTGTAGGGTGTAGGCATGGTCTGATAACCCAGGCTCTGCTGGGAACCTCTGTCGTAGTCGTAGTTGTATGCAGCTTGTTTGTGTGGAGCGTTGCGATGGTACCATCCTCTCAAGTGTTCAGCCACCA